TCTGTCAAGCATGTGCCCACACCAATGTGTGCACATGTGCTCTTTAAGCTATTGGGTTGACAGAAAAGTCATGATGTATTTTTCTGTGCAAAAAAAAAAATGTGTCACAAATATTCTGATGACCTCACACAAAGATAAATAAATAAAATCTGAACATATCTTGAATTTACTAAATTAATCAATACTCCTCTAAATATTCCAGCCACTGTTCTGAGAACCTTTCTGGTCTCAGTTTCTTTGATCCTCATAATAATTCCATGTAGTGGATACTACAATTATCCCCAATTTGCAGATAAGAAAATTGAGGCCAAGAAACATTTGATAACTTGCCCAAAATCATCCAACAGGAAGTAGCAGAGCTGGAGATTACATTCAAGTGTTGAGCACATGACTCTAAACCATTACTCTCTGTTGCTTCTCCATGGATCATACTTTCATTTTATACATTCAATCACTATACATCACCACAGCTTGTACAGCCTGATGGGATAATTTTTCTAAGTATCTAGATGCTTCTCTCTTGCCAGTTTTAGTATTTTGTCTTTATCTGTGGTTTTAGCCAATCTGGCTAGGATATGCTATGAAGAGGATCTTCTTGGGTTGATTTTATTTGGGGTCCTTTGTATTTCTTGGATCTGGATGCTTGAAAGCTTCTCTAGACTTGCAATTTTTTCTTCCAGGATTTCATAAAATAGATTAACAATGCTCTAATTAGTTTCTTCACCTTCTGGGATACCAATTATTCAAATATTTGGGCATTTAATGGTATCTAGTATTTCTTAGATATTGTCCTCACTTTTTTGGGATATTTTCTCAGTCTTTTGATGGTTTTCTTCTAAGTCAGAGGTTTTTTCTTTTACATGCAAGATTTGATCTTTTGCATGATCTAATCTGTATATATATTTTTTGAGAGGCTTTTGCTATAGGGCACGTGCACTTGCCAGAAAGACAGAGAGAGACAGAGAGACAGAAAGCAAAAATATCATCCCTGGTGGTTGGCCATGCCACATTTGCTTCTCTTCCATTCTCCTTTCGAGATCTTGAGCATGCACGCACATGCGCCCGGTGTGAGTTTAAGCCACTGTGTCTGGGACTCGAACCATGGTTGACCACATGGGAGTCCAGCAACATAGCTATTACACCAACTGCTGCCCCCCCCTTTTTATCTAATCTGTTTTTAATACTTATGAGGGAGGCTTTGATTTCCTGTATTACAGCCTTCATCTCTAACAATTTACATTTGAGGATTTTCTATGGTGTCTATTTTTTCTTTCAAATCATATAAGGACTTCCTCATCTCCTGGAGCTTGTTGTCTCTTTTCTTTGTATCTTCTAGAGTTCATTGTCTCTTTTCTCTTGTGTTTCATTTAGTTTTGTCATTTTGAATATTCTGAATTGTTTATCTGACATTTCCATGAGTTTCATTGTACTATCTATGAATGATGAGGGATTGTTCTTTTCTCTTGAGGGGGAAATATTTTCTTGGTTTCTCATATTTCATGTGCCTCTGTGCTGGTTTCTGGACATCTGGTGGATTATACATTTCTTCTTAATTTCTTGGAGTTAATTCTGAGAGTTCAATGTTGTGTGGAAGGGGAAACCAGCAGTTAGCGTAATGGCTATGTTGCTGGACTCCCACATAGTCAACTGCGGTTCGCGTCTCGGACCCGGTGGCTTAAATCTCATGCTGGGCGCGTGTGCATGCGTGCCCAAGATCCCGAGAGGAGAATGGAGGAGAAGGGATTGTGGCGTGACCATCCCCCCTGGGGGGTGATTTCTCACTTTCTGTCTCTCTGTCTCTCTCTGTCTGGCGAGCGCACATGCCCTATAGCAAAAAAATCCTCTCCAAAGTTGTGTGGAAGGTGGTGAACCAAGACCTCTCTGCAACTCCATCTCCCTGATACTCACCTTACAACCTGTATTATTGTTACTGGAACTGAACATTCCAATGGACTCCTGCTTGACCTCTCTGCAATTCCATCTCCCTGATACTCACCTTACAATCTGTATTATTGTCACTGGAACTGAACATTCCAATGGACTCCTGCTTTCTTGAAAACAGCTATACCTGGGGCTGAGCTGCAGGATTTCAGCAGAGGAATAAAGTATGGGTTACACAGCATGTGTTGCATGCCATGCACTTCAGGAAACTATGAAGTCTTAAAGTATTCCTGAATGGGCAAAAGGCAGCTAAAGGTCTAAAGGCAGCTAGAGGTCTAAAGGTTTTATTCTAATTCCGGTTTAACATTTTATTATAATAAGTGAATCATAATTTTAAAATTTACTTAGGTTTTAGTTTCTTGTGCTTACTGTAACAATTACCACAAACTCAAAAAAAAAAAAAAAAAAGAACACCGGGAATGGTACCAGAAGGTGGAGTAGTGGTTAAGTTGCTAAACTCCAACATGGCCAGTCATGGTTCAAGTCCTGGACCTGACAGCTTAAGTGTCACACTGGACATGTGTGTGTGTACCCAGGAAGAGAATAGAACACAAGGGATTGCAGCATGACCATCCTCCATGGGGCTGATTTCTCACTTTGCCACTATCTCACTCCAGTGAGCATACACCCCCTATGGCAAAAACGAACAAACTAGAAATTTATTCTCTCACAGTTATGAAAACCAAAAGCCTGGACTTAACACCAAGAGACTGAAAATCAAGGTGTTGGAAGGCCACACTCCCTCCAGAGGCTGTGAGGGAGAATCTATTTCTTATAGTTTCCAGCATTTGGTGGCTATTGGCATTCCTTACCTTGTGACAACATCATTCCAATCTCTGCCTTCATGGTCACCAGCGGGCCTTTTCCTCTTCCTCTCTGCCTCTGTATTATGCTTTCCACAAAAGTATGGATTAGAATACTAAAAGTTATTTCTTTTCCAGAAACATAGCAATGGGTTCCATTTTCATTTCAGCTGCTTCTTGTTGTCTTGTGATTGTTTGCTCCTCCTTTGTTATTTTATGACCAACATGAGTTTTACTATGACCCATATCATAAACAGGCTTCTAAATCCCTTGCTCAGTTCATTGCATGTGAAATTTCTATCTGTAGCACATAGGCCCACATTTGTCCCAAAATAGAAAATTCTGGATATTGTATGGCAAACAAGATTGGCCTCACTGGGAATTGTGGAAGGGAGGGGAAGACATTCATTTGCTAAACATCCTTATACAGTGGACATGATCCGTCTCTTCTCACCTAATCCATGATTATGTCATTGAAAAGGCCACTCCAAAAATGAATGAATGATCTTCTGGGAAGGGTTCAGGGATTATAAGAGCTTTGGATGCTGTCTTGTCTAGAATAATTAGGATCTTCTCTTTGAGAAAAGATTTGGAAACCCTTAACATTGTAATAGTTTGCCTAATAGTTTGTTTTCTCTTGGCAGGTATGTTTTACGTAGAGTGTATATGTATGCTTCACACAGAGGTGGATCTTTCTAGCACCTCAGAAAACTCACTAGGCAAGAAGTTCATTCACCTGTTTTTGTTGGTACACCATAAAGCTGTTATGAGAACTCAGTACACCTGGCCTCCATATTCCCATTTGGGCCCAGAATGGTGTTGACATCAGGCATAGTGGTCTATGTGTTTTCACCAAAGTTTTGGGAAAAAAACTCAATACTGCATTGTGTCTTTTATTGCCTTTAGAAACTGACAATTAGTTCCCTCTCCATCTCCTATTAGAGGAAAAGTAGACAGCAAATGCTTTGAGCAATTCCCACCCAAGAGGAATGTTTATTCTTGATCATTACTAACTGAGGGCCAAATATATGTTTTATACATTTATTCACTGGTGATTCTGATTCTTTTCTTCCATGAAGTGAGTTCCTGAAGGTCTTCAGTGATAAAAATAAAAAGCAGAATGTCACATTCCTTGATTTATCCAAACTCCTACACTTTAGATTTCAGTTATCCCTAGTGCAGAGTACTTTTTTTCTCTATACAAGCTCATTGAGGGGCCAGCATATGGAGTAATGGTTACATCACTCAACTCCCACATAGTCAACCGCAGTTCAAATCCCAGACCCAGAGGCTTAAAACACGCCAGGCATGTGTGCATGCATGCAAAAAATCCTGAGAGGAAAGTGGAGGAGAAGGGATTGCAGTGTGGCCATGATCCCTGGGGGCAGTGATTTCTTGCTTTCTATCTCTCTGCGTCTCTCCATCTCTCTGGTGAGCTCATATGCACTATAGCAAAAATCTCTCTCCCAAAAATAAAAATAAAAAACAGAAAGAAAAATCTTGTTGATATGAATGAGGGAAATTGCAAGGACTGAGACTGCTTCTCTTACTCATCGCAAAGTACAAACTCTGTTTTTATTTTCAGTGTATATTATGCATTCTTCCTATTTAATGTTTGTTAAAATATTCAATTTCATGGAAGTTCCTCAAAAATCCACAAATGCAATTGCCATATTACCCAGTAATGCCACTCTTTGCCACTTACAGAAAGAACAGTAAAGCAGTCAGCAGGAAGGACTCTTGCACTTTCATGTTTATCACAGCATTATTCATAATTGTGAAAACATGGAACCAACCTAAGTGTCCAAGAACTGATGGCTGCATTTACAAATTGTGGCACATATATGCTATGGAGTATTATTCAGCCACGAGGAATAATGAGATGCTGTCATTTGTCTCAAAATGAATATGTAAGATCTACTGCTTAGTGAAGTAAGCCAGACTTTAAAAGGCAAACATTGTATACCCCTGCTCAATGTATACTGAATATCTGCACTCCATGGCAGAAATGAAAAGGCTGGATAATATGGTATTAAGAAGGATAGGTGTAAATACCAGAGTCTGTAAGGGAGGGGAGGAGATGGTGGAGGGTGTGTGGGAGGGGCAAAAGGAAGAAACACTTAACAGACCCAAGACTGTAAAATTCTCTAAACTGTAAAATGATGTCAGAGTCCTATCCTTGATTTCACTATCTAAATTCTTCTTTAAATATGCCATTTTTTGTCTGAGTAACTGGTGACTTTTCTCTCTTCTTAGTTCCTCCCAAGTTTGTGGTTCAACCACGGGACCAGGATGGGATTTACGGCAAGGCAGTGATCCTCAATTGCTCAGCTGAGGGCTATCCTGTACCTACCATCGTATGGAAATTCTCTAAAGGTATGAAGATATTTTATTTGTTTTGTCATCTGCTAAGTATACATTATGTTCTAAAATATTCTAGTCTTTCCCAAGAGGTTTATGCGAGTAGGGAAGTTATTCCCATCCCATCAAAGTCTGTCTTCTCACACACACACACACCCAGTCATCTCAGTCATCTACTTAGGGGCTTTTATTCAGACCATGGAAGTGTCTGTGAGCATGTCCTTGGAAGAACCATGAAGAGAGGCAGTTCTCCTTGTAGGTTATTTCAGTACGTAGGAAAGTACTATCTTGTCCACCTGTATTAAATGATTAAGGGCTTCTTAGAGTCCATTTGTACCTCCATATGGAGGTGCGAGCAAAAAATGAATTACTACTCATTGTTGGGAAATAATTTCCTGAGTATTTAAATATATAAGATTAAGTAATTTTAGAAAGAGTAAAAATAAAATCCTTGATTACTTTACTTACCTGTTTACCTTTAAGTATGCAAAGTACATATAATCTCGGTATGATCTTTTTAAAAAGAACCAAATACATCTAAAGTCCTGTTATGAGTGTCCAGTGTTCCCTGCTCCTTCTGCTAATCATGCTTCCTCTTCAAAGGAGGGCAGCATCTTCCAGCTCACAGATAAGACTGTAAAAACTACAGAAACAGAAGTGAGCAATGTGAAGACAAATAGTGGAGCCACTTTCATCAGACTACCTTCTTCAGCAAGGTTCTTGTACTATGCTTGTGAACATATTGGAAGTTCTCTTTCTTTTCTTACACAGACATCTGAGTTCAGTACTTTATTTATCAAACAGTTGAGAGCCACATATATACTGGTGAAATAAACCAATTGATCAGTCAACCTTGTTCTCTTTTTTGGACAATCTAAGACCTACCACATATGTTTAATGGTTATGGGTGTATTTGTTTCTTTCTTTTCTTAGTCAAAATTGTAGTGCAGGTATTTCTTTTTAAAATAACATATTACATTATCTCCTTATGAAAACAACAATCAAAGCAAAAACAAATGGTATACTTTCCACAGAAGGTAAAGAAGAAAAGAGGGCGCTAGATATTGATTGGGAAAGCAAAACAATTACTTTAAAAAAATTCTTTTTTACGTTTTTTGCCATAGAGCATGTGCATTCACCATAGAGAGACAGAAAGAGGGAAAGTAAGAAATAATCCCCCTGAGGGAATGGCCATGTTGCAATCCCTTCTTCATCCTCCTCTCAGAATTGTAAGCATGCACACACACACGTCTATTAAGATTTTCAAGCCATTGGGTCTGAGACTCAAGCTATGGTTGGCCATAAGGGAATCTAGTACCTTAGCCACCCTGCCACCTGCTGGTCCCTCAAAACAGTTATATTTTTAAAAAATTACTAAGGCAATTCCTCATACATTCTTTGAAGCATTCCTCATGCAAACCTCATACGTTGTACATGTGTAAAGCACTTAGTTCATAAATAAAAGCATGTCACTCATCGTCACCAGCAGTGTGAGTATTGTGCGTGTGTCCATGGATTTCAGACAACTAGATAGAATCTTCTTTTTATTTTTTTTTATTCTTTGCCTGACAGTGAAAATAGCTTGTTATAATTTGCATATTTATATGCTGGGGCCAGTAGGTAACGCAGTGCTTAAGGTACTGGACTTCCACATACTCAACACAGTTCCAATCCTGAATCTGATGGCTTGAAACTTGTGCAGGGCACACGTGTATGCATGCCCAGAATCCCAGGAGGAGGATGAAAGAGAAGAGATTGCAGCATGGCCTTCCTCCCAGGAAACGATTTCTCACTTTCCCACTTGTCTCTGGCAAGTACATGTGTCCTATGGCAAAAATCTTAAAATAAATAAATAAAAGGTTTTGTTTGGTCCTGTATTTTCTGACAATTTAAATTTCTGTTTAGGAAATTTTGTATCCATGCTATTTACACACCTATCTCAGTGTCTTATTTATTTCTAAGAGTGTTTTATGTAGAGTAAATAACTTTTTGTCATAGATAATATAGACACTTTATCACTTCTTTTCACTGATCATCATATTAAGTGGTAGTATATTTTATATCTAAATTTCATATGCAACATCAAATTATCAAAGAAAACATTAGAAATAGCAAATAGGAAAAAAAAAAAAACCTAGAATGTTAAACTTGCCCTAAATAATGTTACTAAAAGGTAAAAATAACTACTGTAAACTTCTTTATTTTTTAATTTTTTTTGCATTCAATCACTGTATATCACCATAGCTTGTAAAATGAATTTTCCCAGCATGAATACATTGCACACCAGTCCAATCAAATATATCATACACATTATCATCAACCATCCTCCATTTCTGTGTCCCTTAAATGTCTTGCTTCTCTATTTTCTCCAATCTTTCAGGCCTGTTTCCGAGCAATTATTTATACATAGATAGACATAATTTTGTTTTTAATTTTGATCATGATTCTTCCTGGTTTATAATCATCTTTCCTCTGTTAACAATGCTATGAATGTCTTTCCATGTCAATAAACATGGGAATTTAATACAAGTTTTTAATGTCTGTGTAGAGTATATATTAATACATCAATACGTACATTTATTTATTGCCTTAATTACAACTGAGTTCAACAATTTAAATTCACAAGGGCTTACCCATTCTCCTAAGAGGAGTATGTTTGTACTATAGATTGCCTAGGAGTTTATTGACTCCCTAAATTGTTTCTTTTAATTTGCCAGAGGGTACACTTCCTCATTTCACCCTACTTGTCTGATTCTAAAACCCACGGTAGGCGCAGGCAGGCTCTGGCCCCTATCCTGGCTGTGCTTACTGATTCTGCTACTGTAGACTCCTCAGATGGGGCCCACTTTGGGGCCCAGTTTTTGATGCAAAAACTCACAGGCCCGGCCCATCATGTACATCTGCATGTACCTCTGCTCTGTGTTCACTGTTTCCTGCCCATTTACCTATTTTTTACTTGACTTTTTAGTTTATCTCCTAATTTTACAGAAAATAGAAACTGTATATTCCGATGTTCTTTCTCCTATTTGCTTTTGTATGGTTCCCAAGAAGAGAAGAGATGCAGGCTTATGCTTTCATCTTCAAATCTGAAATCCTGTTGTTTATATACAAAGTCTTTTTTTTTTAATTTGGACTTTATTTTAGCCAAAGAAATAAAGTAAGATAAAAGAGAAGTAGCAGAAATCATTAAGGAAATGAGCTATGAGTCAAACCCCAGCCACATGCTGTCTGTGCTATGCATGCATGTTACTAAGCCTACAGGAAACACAGCTTCCTTATGTCAAACAGAAAAAAACAGGGGATTAATGTGGTGATTTAGTAAGATGATTCACAGAAAGCATTTGTTATGGTGCCTGGCACATAGAAATTAGTCAATACACATTAGCTGTTATCATTGTCATTATTGTCATTATCATCAACTTACATGGTTAGCCAGTTGTCCTAAAACCATTTATTGAATAGCCCAACCTTTTCTTGCTAAATTGAAATGCTTGATAGTCTATGAAAAATGTGAACATTGGAGTCTGTTTACTAGCCCTCCCTCTATTACACTCAACACACTGCCTGTTTTTCCTGTTTTAGAAACAGAATTAGAGTTTCTTCTGTTTTCATTTAATATCTTCCATAACAATGTATTGAGTTTTTTTCTGTTTCTTATTTAATATCTTCCATAACAATATTCCTCTTATTACTTTTTCTTTTTCAAAAAATGTCCTTGGAATGGGAACCAGCAGTTAGCATAATGGCTATGTCGTTGGACTCCCACATAGTCGACCGCGGTTCACATCCCAGACCCGGTGACTTAAAACTCACACCAGGCGTGTGTGCGTGCGTGCCCAAGATCCCGAGAGGAGAATGGAGGAGAAGGGATTGCGGCGTGACCATCCCCCCTGGGGGGTGATTTCTCACTTTCTGTCTCTATATCTCTCTCTGTCTG